ATAAAAGCAACAAAAATGCTCTTTCTAGTCTTATAATTAACATGGAACCTCTAATTATATTCTTCTAGTCTTACTTTTTCAAGTTACGAACTGTGGTTTACTAGTGCACATAAGTGCCAATCGCTTTGCTCTCTTGCATCCTCCAAAAAGGTTTCTAGAGCATACCATGTTGACAATTAGGTGGAAAGTAAATTACCTCGTCAAAAACAGGAACACTTCCACCAACAAGACCTGTGTTTCCCCCTTGAGGAGCAACAGCCAAATGCCTTGAATTACAGTATTTAAGAATCTCTGAGACCTACAAAGTAAAATACATGCAAATGCAACTTTATTACCAAAATTTCAGGGTCTAAAGTGCATCTACATAACAATCTAGCTCTTGAAACTAAAATTTAGAATGATGATAAAGCATTGAACAATAATATCAGAAACTTGCAGAGAAGAAGGAGAAATTAACCTCCTCAGTGCTCCGAGGTTGAAGCAGAAGCTTACTTGAGCCTTTATACTTCCGCATCCAATCAGTATTTGCAGTTGCAAGTACATCCTCATCCTGGACGACATTCTTCTCCCCCAAAATACTTTTAAAGAAGCTAATATCATCAGAATCCAACGTTGAAAAGGAAGGGCTTCTCTGAACCAGCTCAGCCACCGAGCCAAAATATCTGTTCTGCATTGCATTTGCTTCGGTAAGACCTCTGCAATCTCTCGAGGGATGTAAACAAGCTGGAAGAATCCAGTTCCGGTATCCAGTACATGTTCGCGTAAAAACTGTCACACAACATGGAAGAATACACACTTCAGCATATCAAATAGTCAAAGAAAATCATGAATGAATTGAATTGCCAGTAACCATACCTGTACCGGAGCTGTGAATTGAATTCTCAGAGTTTAGCTTCAATCGACGATCAAGCAACGATCTCGACGATCGCTGGAGCAAATGACGTGTAGTTCTGAACTTCTCCATTCTCAATTTTTTCTGTTGCAGCTGTCTACATTTTCTGATCCGCTGGAATCTTACAAGTATTGCCGATCTTGTCGAGATTACCACAATGCCCTTAAAGATTGGATCAAAACGGTGCGTATTGGTCATCACTCCCCACCTGTATTCGGTTTCCAGTATTGTTTTTCTTCTTCCTGCTGCAACACACAGCATACACAGAGACCCTTCCCTCTCTTTCAATGGCGTCTTCCTTCTCACCTCTCTCCTCCATACCTTACTTTGCGGTTCGCATCAGAGTGTAGAGACGGTTCTGCTTCAATTGTCTGCTTCGTGTTCAAATCCTTACCACTGTCTTGAGCAAAGATCGATCAAAAGAAGTTTCTCTTTCAATCTCAGCCGAGGCTGCTCCGACTCTCACTATCTTTCTAGCAATCTTGACGGGCCCTATCTCTAACATTTCATCGCTCAGGCCTCCCTCACTGCTTCTGAATCACAGCCTGAGTAAGTATCAGTTTCTGTGCAAAGGCAGTATGCTAGTTTTATTTATTTTTTGCTTATTCATTGTTTACTTGTTTCTTCTTTGTTTGCTTCGAGTGCGGTTCAACATAAAAGCTTAAGCTGTTTTATTGTTTGCTGTATGAGTTTTTCTTCGATGAGAGAACTCAATGAAAGTGAAAGATTCAATATTTCTAATTTTTTTTTCCGACCAAAATTCAATCTTTATGTTTGATATTTTATAGTTGGCAGAGATAATTGGAAGAAAGAGATTGTAAATTGTGAAACATGGGTAGCCCTTTTTTTTTTTTTCTTTTTTTTCTTTTTGGATAAAATGTGAATCTTATTCATCCAATAATACTGCTGATTACAATAAAGCAGCAAAATGTGCTGCTACAGTCCAAAATACAATGAGAAAACTGTTGAAACAATCAACTCTTCACAATTTTCTCAAGCCGCCATTGCTGCGCAGTAACTAGAGATAGGGAGGATGGCCTTCCGCAAGCAAAACCGAAAATCTTTTGCCTCACTTCATATTGGATATCAGCAATCAAAGCTGTCTACTCTTGAAAAGCTTAGTAACTAAATTAGATGGATAGTGAACAATGCTTGGGTGGAACTGGGTATTATATATGAGAGAACACTGTTATATATATGGTAAAGCCAAGTCTTATTAGAAAGAACCGGAAAACTGGAGATATGCTCTTAAATCTTTAATGAGTTCTTCCTTTGTTCATGAAAAAATGTCACTTTTCAGTTTTCACTCACAATTTGACCTATAAAGTTTTTTCATTTTAATTTCTGTTATGGTAGCTGCCCCCACTACGAGTTATGAATGAAGTGTTTCTATACAAAGTCTTGGGTTTTCTTTAAGAAAAACTTCATATTTTTGAAAATTGCGCTTTACATAATATAGAATTCATGCTTTCTCTTTCTGTTTCTATTTTCTGTTTAGTCTTCTGCAATCGTCTGAATTTCATTCAATGTCAAAAGGTCATATTTATCATGAGACTTACATGGATGCCAAATGAATATCAACCATATGGATATTGTCTTATCTGTCATGAAGAATGATGGATAAAGCGAAGTTGTGGACATTCCAGAGAGTGCGGAGGTTATATTTATTAACACCTGTGCTATCAGGGACAATGCTGAGCAAAAAGTTTGGCAGAGGCTTAATTATTTTTGGTTTGTAAAGAGGCAGTGGAAAAGCAACGTAGCTGAAGGAAGGTCACAGTCCACGCACACTCCCAACGTTGTGGTCTTGGGATGTATGGCTGAAAGGTTAAAGGATAAGATATTGGATGCGGAAAAGATGGTTGATGTGGTCAGTGGACATGATGCTTATAGAGATTTTCCGAGATTGTTGGAAGAAGTAGACTAAGATCAGAAAGGCATCAACACTAGATATTAGTCCAGTTCAGATTTCCAAAAATTCAGTTACTGCTTTTGTCTCTGTTATGAGGGGTTGCAATAATATTAATATGTGCTCATTTTGCATTGTTCCTTTTACTAGAGTAAGATAGTGTTCTCATCCTTGTGGAATCTATCGTAAAGGAAGTGGCAGAGCTTTGGAAAGAAGGTGTGAAGGAGGTTACACTTTTGGGCCAGAATGTTAACAGCTATAATGATGCTTCAGGGATTGAACAATAAGTTTGAATGAGGAACAAATTGGAGATGTAGTGGAGGCTTTAAAAGCATGGCTAAGGTGAAAAAGATGGGTTTATGTTTTGCCAATCTCTTGGATCGACTTTCTTCAGAGTTCCCTGAAATGAGATTCAGATACACATCTCGACACCCTAAAGATTTCCCACATGATTTACTGTATATAATGCAAGACTGCCATAATATCTGCTAAAATATTCATTTGCCTGCACAAACAGGGAGTAGCACGGTACTTGAAAGAATGTGCCGGGGATACACTAGAGAGGGATACTTAGATCTTGTGTAAAAGATACGGAAAATCGTTCCAGATGTGGGATTTAGTAGTGACTTCATATGCTGTAAGGTTTTGTGAAGTTATTGTGGTTTCTTGTGGTTCTTTATGTTTTGAGATCTGGTTCCAGTAATCTTGCCTCTAGCCCTGTAGAAGAATTATCTTAGAAGAATAAGATGATCAGAAATTCTTGGAGCCTAGTTCTTAAGTGGGACAACTGCCATCCATGTAAAACTTCCTTTTTCTTTTTGTGGAGACTGGTAATTGACCCCATGATTTTATCATCTAGTCCATTAGGATGTTAAATTTTGGGCGCTCAGAACTCTGAACTCCAGAGCTTGCATTTGTTCTTGAGGAGAGCTTACTGGTGCATTCTTGGCATTGATCTTCTCAATGAAAATGTAGTTCTTTTCTTTCAACTGCATCCAAAAGATGAAAAACGGAAATGTAGCTTTTGATCAGATCATCATATGCAAATTTAATAACATGCAACACATATTTGATGCTATCTCTATGAAATTAATTTAGGCTCAACTTTTTCAAAGGTAATAAAAGGCTAGCTATCTGTGTAGTGGAGGGCTTTTATTTTTTAAATACTTATATGAGTTTGTGCTTGGGAAATAAAATTTCTTTTATCTTGTTATTCATTAGGCTCTATGAAAATTGCCTTGTGTACTCCACTCCACAATGTAGGCTGCTAGAATACAAGCATCCAACTTAAAATTAATTCACATCTTTACCAGATGATATAGCCTGCAGTTTTCTAGTGACGCGCTCTTATTATTACTTGGATTTCCTTTTACAGGTTTCTGTGGTGAAACAGAGGAAAAACATGCCAAGACTCTAAACCTAATAAAGACTGTTGGTTATGATATGGCACACATGTTTTGCATACAGCACGATGGAAAAAAAAACCCATGCCTACAGAAACTATGTTGATGATGTTTCTGATGAGGTCAAGCAGAGGAGGCTTACAGAACTTATCCAGGCATTCCGGGAGAGTACAGGTCAATGTTATGACTCTCGGGTTGGAAACCATCCAACTTGTGCTGGTTGAAGGACCCAACAAGAGAGCTCCAGAGACAGAGCTCATTGGTAAAAGTGACAGAGGCCTTAGAGTTTCATTCCTTAATCTTCCTCTGCCAGACCGACTCGGTGGTATTAACGACGAGCAGAATCCTACTTTGTTGGGGATTTTGTGGAAGTCCACATTACAAAGTCGACAAAAGCATCACTTTTGGGAAAGGCACTTGCTATAACTAAGTTAGCTCATATTACAGCCATGCAGAGGAAGAACCAGCCATTGCCCGTGCAAGCCAAAGTTGAAACTCAGCTACCTCTAGTCTTGTATGATATTTTCTCCTTGTTTCCATTATTTCACAATTATAAAACTGCATCAATTCATTCTTAAGGCTGGCTGATAAAAAAAAAAAAAAAAGGAAAGAAAGAAAAATCCTTCTTTGGACTTCAGCAACAATATTTTAAACACTGTTCCTGAAACTTATTGTAATTTCCTTCATTTTTTTTGGTTAATCCATACTGTAGTAGATTGTATGCCAAATGGCAGCAACTCATCGAAGAGCAAAGACAAAATACTTGAATTCCTTGTTGGGACTCAAAACTCAAAACAGTTCCCTCAGAAGATGGTGTGTGTGCATGCACAGAAACAATAATAATAATGCGCATGAAAGAGCGAGAAAAGAGAGGAAGAACAGACAGAGTAGCTGTGAGACCACTGAAGAACGATCAAGACTAGACAATTGTTAGGTCATTCTACCCATACCAAAACGGTGGCTGCCGACCTCCTAGGTCCAATGGGCTTCCTACAGATGGTAACATCTACCCTCTAGAGTCAAATGCAGCAGACCTCTTTCATGAGAAAATTGTGCAAGTGGGATGGCGTTGATCCGAAAGGAGATAGAAACAAAATGACTGATTTTCAATCAGTAAGACTTGTAAATTGGCATGTAATCACTTGTTTGATCTCACGTGATATATGCTAGGTGTTTCGACCCTTCTTTTCATTTTAGCTTACACAAAGAGAAAATGTGCATATAAGATGTGAATTTTGTTATATATATATATATATATGTGAACT